AATTTAGACTACACTTAAGATTAAAACTTGTTCATAAAATGCATCACAAAGAGCAAAAGACCAGGATTACAGCTCCAGGAATGGTCTATAAACATAGAAAGTATGCTCAAGTTCACTGGGGGAAATCAAAATTGAAGCCACAATGAGAACCATTTCACACTGATCAGATCAGACAGACCATACTCAGTTTATTGATGAGAAGATGGTTGAAAAACATTTCTCCTCTACTACAATTAAGAATATTAAACTAGGAAAAGCACTTTGGAAAACTTCGGCATTATCTAGTCAAGTTGAAGATGCACATACTCTACACCTTAGTAATTCCATTCTAGATATTCTTGGACTTTATAATTGGCTTTAGCAATTATAAACAAGTATGTTCACAGCAGACTATTTGTAATTGTGAAAATCTGAAATTCAAATGTTTATCAACAGTGAATTCATATAATGAATTGAGTTCATATGATCATCTAAAAGAATGAAATACCATTGCATGCATAAAAATATATAAGGAAAAGAAGAAAGCAAACCTAATTTTAAAAATGGGCAAAAGATCTGAACACCTTACCAAAGAAGACATAGAGATGGCAAATAAGCACTTAAAAGATGCTTAACATTGTTAGTCATTATAGAAATGCAAATTAAAATTACTATGAGACACCTATTTAGGATGTCTATAGTGTCTAACTGTGCCAAGTGTTGGAGAGAATGTATAGAAACTAGAACTCATTATTTTGGGAGGCTGAGGCTAGAGGATCCCTTGAACCCAAAAGACTGAGGTTGTTGTGAGCTATGATGATGTACCAGGGTAATTTATCCAGGGCCTGAGGGGGAAGGGGTAGAAGGAGGACATAGTTAAGAGTCTGTCTCAAAAAAAAAAAAAAAAAAGTGAAACTCATATGATGCTAGGGGGAACGTAAAACGGTACACTTTAAAAACCAGTTTGGCGGCTCGGCGCCTATAGCTCAACCGGCTAAGGCGCCAGCCACGTACACCTAAGGTGGCGGGTTCGAATCCCCAGCCCGGACCTGCCAAAC